AAAAAATAGGTACTTAATTTTTGACAAAATTTCCGTATAAATAAATTAAGTGTGGACACGTTCCAAGTGTTCCAAGTGTGGACGCGTGCGGCGTGCTGATACAACACCACGCCGCCCGCACGCGTGTGTGTGTGTGTGTATACCTAATCTGTAGGGTGTTCATACGATGCGTAATTAATTACATAACTTTTGGTTAACTTTACTTAGAAGTTTATTAATATTTATGTTATATTAATTTTTATTTTGTCATATATGATCGTCAAATATCACGTCCTCAAGTATCGATAGTAATTCACCAGTCACCCTGTATATTATAAGAAAATTTTGTAATAATTTTATACAATGAAATTTTCTTATAAAAAGTTAGTAAATACACTGAATTTCAAAATAAATTAATACTCGTAAGCTAGTTGTCAAACAGATTATAAGTTAATCAGTGGCTTAGAACGAGTTTGTTCAACCTACATACTGACAGTCATCATGTTTTCATTGATTTATCAAAGACTAAGTTATTCATTCATTCATTCATCATCTACACGACAAAATGAGAACAGAAACTAAGATTTTTTTGGTACTATCAATTGTACTATCTCTATTTATTCATACTTTTCTGTTTTTAGTATAACAAAATATTTAGAATATTGTCATTTGTAAGCATTAATAAAATAAACTAAGCCTATTTACAAATCCCTACTAATCCCTACTAATATTATAAATGCGAAAGTAACTCTGTCTGTCTGTCTGTCTGTCTGTCTGTCTGTCTGCTACGCTTTCACGCCTAAACCACTGAACTGATTTTAATGAAATTCGGTACAGAGATAGAGTTGACCTTGAGAAAGAACATAGGATAGTTTTTATCCCAGACTTTTGAAAGGTTCTCTTGGAAACGCGATATAACCGAACTCCACGCGGCGAAGCTGCGGGCGGAAAGCTAGTTCTTTATATAAATGCTTAGGAACGTTTTGGATAAAGGAACGTAGTATGTCTTAACATACACATACTAATATGCAATATGTATTTATTAAGAATCAAATTCATAACAACTTAAAAAATGCTTAAAAATAATAATAATTAAAACGTTTATTACTTTAATATTTTTATGCTATGGTTTTAGGTTTTAATTTGTCAAAATGACGTTTCAAATGCGTTCAGTAACCTTATAGCGAGTATGCAACGTCATACGTAAAGTTTCCAGTGTTTTGTTCGTAAGTTAGTTCTTTAATGATTTATGAATTAAACTAGAAAACTGTTCGTAAGTAGTTAAAAAAAGTATACTTATGGTAAGGGTACAAGAAAAGATTAACATACATATGTATTAATATCACGCATATTTCAATTTAATAACACCGAAATATTAATAAAAAATTCACAAGTTCGACGGAAATCCCATATTATTCGTAAACATTGTTAATTAATGTCCGAATATTATGCTCAATGTATATTTAAAAGCTAAGACAATCCACATCAAATTAAAGTTCCTTCACGATAAAAAGCAAGACGCAATTAATTCAAATCGATTTCCACTTAAGCAGGCTCCGGCCGCGAATGATCAGAATTTCAAATCGACCTTCCGAGCAAGCTGGCAGCAGCGTGTAAAACTTCTTTTTTGATTCCAATATGCCATTTAAACCAAAAGCGCCAAAAGAAATAGTAGCCACGGCCGAGTTAGGTTGGCCAGCCTGATGCTATCTTGGCAGTTGGCACACCTGACCGACGCTAATTGGACAATAAATCAATTCTTCCCCGCTTCTTATTGGCGAATCGTGGCATTCCAATATAGAAAATTTGGCCGCGTGATATTGACAACATGATAAAAAACAATGGGCCGTTATCTTTTTCTTTTGTGTTCATCTCGGCCCCGATTCTTATTAAGGATTTCTGTTTTGTTTCGACGTTTTATCGTTTGGACAATTTGTTTTTGGTTGCTCGTTATTGAATTATTAATATTAATGTATATAACGAAAGTCATAACCTATAATTGACAATTGTTCTCTATTGACGTTTCTCACGTCACATGCAAGTGACAGTTGAGTTTTTTTTTTTAATTAATAAGACGTAGGTATGAAAGATGAATACGTCAATGCAATCACCGTTATTAGAGTTATTAACAAAACGGAATACGAGCTAATCTTGGCGCGCTGTATAATTAAATTCTGAGAACAAGCCAGCTATTAAAGCGAAACGGTAGCGCGACGCCATTAAACGGAACGTGCATAATTATTTCGTTCCCGCTTTTTTTTATTCCCTGTTCGATTTTCGTAAGTCGCTAATGTACCGTCGCTACTCCCTGGCACGAAGCATTGTAAACAATTCTCGTAAAATCTTTTTCAATTATCGGTTGCGTATATAAAGTAATAGATCTTGAAGTGTTAATTATTTTACTTAGGTTATGGCTTTTAAAGGTATTTACTTTCTTTTGTTTACCAACTTATATATAATTGTTAAATTTTGTTTCTTTAGGGTCAATATAAATATATTTTTCAATAGATACAATTTTTCAATATTCTATTAAGTATATTGATTTCCAATTTTAATTATAAAGCTCATGTATGTGATGTTTTATGATGTCAGTTTTAATTCAATTTCATTATTCAGATGAACAGTTAATTGATAGTTATAAAACAGATTAATGATTTGATTAGAAAAATACTAAGAAAAAAAAATCAACTCTTAATTTAGTTATTATATTTTAACGACTTAATTTTAATAAATTCACTTACATTTTTTATTGATTATCGAATCACAAGAAACACAATATTTCTCTGAATATAGAAAAAACAAACCTCTATCTATATATACAAATCTTACATACAAAATAAAAATAACTAAAACAAACAATTCTCTAGGACCACCGACGTATTCGTAAGATAACATTTAATGTAACATCAACCTTGTTTTACAAACTCCATGTCAAACTCCTTAAATTATTCATTATTATCTGTTAACATATATTTTGACAGATGACATAACTCTCTTATCTATGGACGTCATCTTGAAACACAATTTGAAGCTTATAATAAGCTCCCGTCTTACGTTTGTTGCGTACTTCGATTTATTATTTCCGTTTTGTTTTTATTCATTATTAAGTCATTGTCTTTTTACGTTCGTCGTATGTATTTTTTTTATGTAATGTACATGTACCATCGATGTAATTCACGTCAGTGTTTTTTTTTCAGTTCGAATAAATAAGTGTCAATGAACATTTCTATACAGCCCTTAAATTTATACATTAGTTATAAAAATGTTCGAGTAATACTTTAGAGTTCATTTAAAATGAATCTTTATGTAGCTATATTATTCAGTTCTAAATAATAATTATCTAAAACTTTAAAACATAAATAGGTTATATTGAAATTAAACATAATTGTTATATGTTAAATATATAATCTGTGACAAGGAAAGCCTTGACAAACGGATGCCAATTGATTGATTTTGAATTGAAGAGAGACGAGTTTCAAAGACGGAAGATCCTTCGCCCTACCTGTTTAAACCATTGAATTCTATACAAAGTTTATACACAATATTATTTATATACAAACTCTTTGCTCGCATATATAGTTATAATAAACATATCTATCCCACAAGTGACACATTTCATTAATTTACATATGTCTAACAATTATAATCATAAACGAAAGCATTTTATCTATGAATAATAAATGAATACGATCCATAGAATGTGTTTTAATTACAGCTTCCAAGTTGGCTGATGCTATCTGAGCACGAGTCAAAAGCAGGAGTAGTGATGGATACGGTGTCTATCGATAATATGGGTACAGGGCTGGCACTATATAAATCGTTACCAATGTATAAAATACTCCATTCTATAGGATACGATATTGGCAGAATGTACTTGGCAAGTTTTTGCACGGATAAAGGCCACATTTAAAACAACCAACAAAATAAGATAGTTTTATCGTAATTAAAATTTACTATAAAAAAAATATCTTTGAAAAATTCGGAACAAAAGCTTACTTTAATCAAAATCGCCATCAGTTAAATGACGCATTAGTTTTTTTTTCTCAATAAAATAGAAACCTCTGTAACAATATTTTCAATCTTTAATACGACTTTGTTAACATAAAATTCTACAAAACATTTAATAATTCTTGGAATGCCAACCCTAATGTATAACTAGTGCGTGGGCAAATGAAATGCCCATTTGACAAATATGAATCTGTGACGAGTTGACACCTGTCTACAGTTGACCGCTGCACAATTAATTAAACAAATACGATACGTTTCTTATTCCATTTTATTGACTTGATGATTGAATGTGTAAACTAGTTAATATATACTGTTACTTTGTATCATTCAACATTTATGTTGATTTATATCAATTCGTTACGAAATCGTTGTAATACAATACAGTTAACAAGTTAAAATTCTGCATTTAAATTCATTTACAAAATAATTTTCGTAATTCAAAGAACGAACTAAATAAACATAAAGTCAATTTTAACAGTTCACCATTCACCAATAAGTAATAACATATCAAATGATAACTTAACTGTTTTTCTATGTTACTCGTACCCATTTTTCTTACTACTATAATAAAATAGCAAAAATACTTTTATTCCTCAATGTCCCTTCAAGCGCTACAGGCGTTTAATAACATTTTTTATTCCATTAGATTTCGTCGTTTTCAAATTGTACACTACTATTTTTAATCTTTTAAAAAATATCAGTTTTATTAATAACTTTACGAATTTCTTGAGTGTTCGATTTAATTACAAAAATTACTCTTTTTAGTTAAAACTAAAGATGTCATTTTAATAATCCATTTCAGTAAAACTGGACGTAACATTAATTTGAAGTTAGGATTTGACAGTTAGGTATAACTTGACATATAAATTTTGACATGTCTTTATAAAACAAAACCTTAAACAAGTAGCGGTGTGATTACATTTATGTAACTAAAATAACAAATATATATTATTTAGTATACTTTTAGATTACATTATTATCCTAAAAATTAAGGATAGACGTTATATTTCAATATGGCAGACGACGAAGGTATCAAATAACTAATATTAGCCTTATAAAGTTACTATTTGTTATTGTCGAGTGGTTTTTAATGTTGTTATATGTTGATGCAATTTACAGCGCCTTCAGACAGCAGTCTCCTGGTAATAATAGTCGATACAAACCCCAACCAGCGATATATAACCGAAGATCCAAAAGTTTTAACCGGTTGCTTAGACGCTGTTATAGCATTCGCGAACTCGCATCTTATGCAAAAGTCGAGGAATCAGCTAGCGGTTATTGGGTGCCATTTTCATAAAAGGTTACTTATTATTGTGACAACGACAATTATTCACCTATATTGCTTTAAACTTAGTTATAAGGGTAACAGAATTAAGTAACATTACTTTCTTACAGTGAATATCTGTATCCTTCACCTGGGAAACCGTTAGATGTGAGACAAATTGATGGGCAATATGAATTGTTTACACTGGTTGAAAAGACTATTAAAATGAGGTATTTATGAGTTATTATGGTCTTAAATTATCTAACATACATTCTGGTTATTAAAATGATATTTTTTTCTATCCTCTTCATATAAATAATTTAAAATAATGCTATATTTTATTGATAGTTATAATTTAACATAGTTTGGTGTATCATATATTATCTTCTACCTGGTAATTTTCCCAGCTTTAGCAAGGGTCTGCTTTACATGTTGTGAATGGTTTTGGCTAATTGTTTTTACGACCGGCCACCTGCCTGACATCAACCCTCTTTGGGAATGCATTAATCAGTGATGTTTAAATACTCTTAGAAAGTACATATGACTCGGAAAAATCACACTGGTACTTGCCAGGATTGAACCTGCGCCCTCATGCATGAGAGGCGGACCTTTTAACTACTAAGCCACACCTGATGTGGTGTATTCTTTACTATAATTATATTTAACATATCAAACATGTATGGTTGAAATTGATCAACTCACTTAATCTACAAGTTAACTAAAACAGTATAACATTATTTTATAAATTTAATTCTATATAACAAATATATTTTATTTTTAATATCTTTTATTACAGATTAGTAAATTTAATAAAGAGTCAACCTCAAGAAGAGCGGCCTGGGGAATCGTTACTGGCTGGAGCTATGGCAATGGGACTGTGTTTCATTGCTAGAGTAAGTATTAATCAATATATATACCTACTAATATTATAAATGCAAAAGTAACTCTGTCTGTCTATCTGTTACACTTTCACACTTAAACCACTGAACTGATTTTAATGAAATGTTGTACTTGAAAACGAACATAGGATAGGTCTATCCCAGAATTTTGAAAGGTCCTCTTGGAAACGCGATATAACCGAACTCCACGCGGGCGAAGCTGCGGTCGGAAAGCTAGTAAATATATATATATATATGTATATATGTATATATGTGTGTGTATGTGTTTAGTGAAAATTATCACACATGAAAAAATCTGAACATATTAAATATATAATCAGAAAATATTGTACATACATATATCACAATATATATAAATTATTTTGTATATAGATGCGTCGTGAGCAACCACCAGGATTGCGTATGGCGAGCAGAATGTTGGTAGTGACAGGCAGCTCGGACACAGCGGCTCAATACATTAACTATATGAATGTATTCTTTACTGCACAGGTATAAAAATAGTATTTTAACCCATTTACAATAATTGCTAAGACTATAAAGAATTTAAACTGATTTATCTGCTAATTAATGAATGTATTAGAGATATTTTCTTACATGAATGCTAATTATGTTTTATATTTGCTTTATAAATGATTTAAAAATAATTTGACGCTTATGCTATAATCCACATCTTATTTCAGAAACTTATTTTATCGGCTGCCCTTCAACCGAATTTGCTAATAAATTAATTTTATTTCCCCTTTTTTCTCCCACCAAAAAACCATTATATCTTATTCTAGTTAAATGAAATTACAAATCATCTTTAGGGCTTTTTACAACGCCATCATTTATTTATCCCTACTAATATTATAAATGCGACAGTAACTCTGTCTGTCTGTCTGTTATGCTTTCACGCCTAAACCACTGAACTGATTTTAATGAAATTTGGTACAGAGATAGAATTCACCTTAGAAACGCGATATAACCGAACTCCACGCGGGCGAAGCTGTGGGCGGAAAGCTAGTTGTATTATATAACTGCTTAACATAGCATATTTTTTATTCTTCTATTAGGTTTAAGATTTATTTTATTGAAATTTAATAAAATGACATATTTAATATTATTGTTTATTAAAATAGATATGATAATAATACATTTTTAAGCCAACTAAATGACATGACATTTGATGTTAAATTCATTGCTATAGCTTGAAAATGAACTATATAACTATATCCTTTCTTTACCTGTGTTTTTCACAGAAACAACAAGTTTTGTTGGACGTGTGTTCGTTGGACAAACATCTCAGTTTATTACAACAGGGCTGCGACATCACCGGAGGGTTATATTTAAAAGTACCCTCGCTTGAAGGACTATTACAATATCTATTGGTATGATATTATATGTGTTATAAAGGTTTTAACTTATATAGAATAGACTATGAATCTTTTTTTCTACATTTAGGAAAAAATTAAACATAAAAAAATGTGTTTTTGTATGACTATGTCGTTGAATAATAAATAGTTGCCAAAATTAAGCATGAAAAGAAATTTGGTACTTGATAATCAAGGATTTTCTGAATAATATATTTTTTTAGGAAACATTTATTATATTGAACAATGTTTAAAAATGTCATGCACGTTATATAATATACATACTACAAAATAGCATGCTTTATATGAATTTTTTATTTGCACATTCCTTGGTGAAACAATACATAATTTATATATAAAGAAAAAAATCATTTACATATTAATTTAAAGCAAATTAAATTTAATATGAATTATTAAAGGCTATATTGTAATATAATCACTATTTGTAATTTATTTCAGTGGGTTTTTCTTCCTGAGGCCAGTGAAAGACGGGAATTAGTTCTGCCCGGCCGAGGCAGAGTTGATTATAGAGCGGCCTGCTTCTGTCACAGGGAATTATTAACTATAGGATATGTGTGCTCTGTGTGTTTGAGTGGTGAGTTTTATATATTAATAACAGTATATATCTTCTTGTTCTTTTACCTGGCAATTTCCCAGCTTTAGCCAGGATCTGCCTAACATGTTTTAAATAGTTTTGGCTAATTTTTTTTACGACCGGCCGCCTGCTTGAAATCAATCCTCTTTTTGGGAATGCATTAATCAGTGATGTCTAAATACTCCTAGAAAGTACATATGACTCGGAAAAATCACATTGGTACTTGCCAGGATCGTACCCGCGCCCTCATGCATGAGGGGCGGGCCTTTTAAACACTAGACCACCACTATGGTAGCATATACAGGGTGACTGGTGAATTACTATCGATATTTGAGGACGTCATATTTGACGATCATATATGACAGAATAAAAATTAATATAACATAAATATTAATAAACTTCTAAGTAAAGTTAAACAAAAGTTATGTAATTAATTACGCATCGTATGAACACCCTACAGATTAGGTATTAGGTACACACACACATACGCGCGCGGCGGCGTGTTGTTGTATCAACACGCCGCCGCACGCGTTCACACTTGGAACACTTGGAACGTGTACACACTTTATTTATTTATACGGAAATTTGGTCAAAAATTAAGTACCTATTTTTTTTACATAATTCGAATGAGAATCATGTACCGAGTATGCTCCTTAAATATTGATAGTAATTCACCAGTCACCCTGTATAGTTAATTAAATAACTCGGTAACAAATTATTTACATTTTCATTGAAAAACTTCAAATTGTTTGGTAGCAAAAAGTAATTTATTACCTTACTTTACTTATTATTACAGGTTGAATAAGTTTTGTATGTCTCTTAGATAATTTCTTTATTTTAAAGTCATGTATAGGATGTTTGTAGTTTTTTTTTCTAATATAATTTTTGTTTCAGTGTTTTGCAAATTCAGCCCTATATGTACAACTTGCCAGTAAGTATTTGTACACAGCTTAATATTGTAGCTTTTTTTTCTTAATTTCTTAATATTTTTTTTTCTTTTCAGTACCGTATTTAAGATCGGCGGTCCTCTCCCTATGAAGCCGAAGAAAAAGAAAATAAAACTTTAGTTTATTTTATTAGGTTTGTTTATAAATTTCTAAATAAATGTTTACTTTTTTAATTTTATGCATTTTTTATACTTTAGCATTAATTTAGAAAAGCTTAAGTGTAATGTCAAAAAAACTTATATTACATAGGAAAACCGGATGGTTACTAAAACAATTAATGTTGATTACCAGCGCCATCTATTATCTTGTATCATAACTGTTTAACATCTGAGCCTAAGACCCAGTTTCACCAATCAATGTCAAATAAGTTACATCGTGTTAAGGCGTTTGATGCTCTGTTAGATGTATCGAGCGTCCCACCACGCACAAACGTCCGTTTAAATGTCTTAACCAGCCACTAATATTAATTCCTGCTCTGGAGCTCCGTCTAATGGCTAACATGACTGTTAATGCATTAATTATTATCAAAACTTAATTGTAAAATCACAGCCCTGATTTCTTGTAACCATAGTAACGTCTGTTTTGTCAGTTTCGACTATTTTCTTGTACTTATTAATAAAGTGAATTAAAATTTCATTTAGTATAATGATTTTGCCTCCAGCTTTTCTATGAGATTGTAAATTAAATTTTCTTTTTATCTCTTGTAATTTGAACACAATTTATGCCATTTAATAATACGTTGTTAATTTGTCATCGTGGAACGTAAATATTTTAACAAAAATTTATAATTTTGCAGGTTTGTTAGTAGATGACATGTTTAGATTTAACAAACATTGATTGGTGAAACTGGGACTTAGGATGTTACTTGGCCGACTGTGAGTTTCGAGTTGTCATTCTTTAAACTTCGCTCATCATGGTAACAAAGTAAATTTTGAATGAAATCAATCAATTGTCTATATTATGTATGTAAATGCGGACATGTTTTAAAGTACAGATCAAATCAAGTTTATATCGAGTGTTTAGAATACTTCAGAAAACCAAAAGAACTTCTCTGATTTAGAAACTTGCGTATAGATGGCGCTTAACTTTATTTATACTAAATGTATTGTGTACACAATTATATTATATTGTATTGAATAAGCTCACACTTCCAATCACTTGATTGCGTACTTGCAGAACATAATAACTATCGCTTTATCAATTTCATATACATATCTATATATTAAAGACTATCTAGAAAACAATTATAGATAATGTTTGATTACATTTACTATAAAAGCACCAATCAAACAATGATATTATGATGGCTGGTGTTAGATCATAAAATCAAACAAAACAAATTGTTACAAATCAGTCTTTATTTGTAAAATTTAATATAAATTTAAGGAATTCAAAGACATGTTAATAAAAAAATATATAATTTAAGGACATTCTGCCAAACGTCGTCTGAAGTTAACAAAGCTTACATATTTACATTATACACAAGGGCATGCATTACACACTAGCTTCAAAACTAATTTTATATCCTAAATTAATTAATAAAAACGTTCTTTATCTTAAAAAAATAAGTATCTATTTCTTATTAAAGTATTATTGTTAACAATAACACATAACATTATTATATAACATTAGTATAATACAAAAGAATTCCTTTCATTTTTTTTCATTAAATTATAAAAAGAAAACACAACTGTCATTTCAATATTGACGCTTAACATTCAAACAAAAAATAGAAAAATGGAGTAAAAAAGTTAGCGATATTATTACAAACATTTTAATAATTATATCGGACCTTTATAGGAATCGGTAAATTTTGTATTCTACACATTTTTCTTACTCGAAATTTCTAGTGAAACATTAGATAATACTGTATTTATTAGAAAAAAAAAACAATTATAATATCGTTACATATAATACGGATATTCCGATTTTAGATAAATTACTTACATTAACTGATATTTTTTAATTACAACAGAAGTCAATCAAAATTATTTGATATTATAACGAGAGATAAAAATCGAGTCTGTTTTTAAAATGTCGGTTGATTTATATCAGATAATCAATCAAAAAACACTTAAATTGTAAAAATGTAATATCAATTAATATTAATTCAAAAAGAAACCTTATAATCAATAATCTTTAAAATTAATGCTACTTCTTTATGGTTTCTGTGTTTTTTTTTTATTTTTGTACCATAAATAATAAATCGTTCACTATTTGGGTGACATTCATGTAAAAAAACTTTCTGTCAATAGAAAATTACAGAAATACCTTGAACTTAATATAAATCGTAGATTACAAAGTGGGGAAATTGATAAAATTGACACGTTTTATTCTTCCTAAAAACTAATCGATAAGAAATAATGACGTCGCTGATAAGACAATGATTTTTATATAAAAATATATACACGTCAAATGCGAAAAACATACCTATATATCTTTATATTAAAATACATTTATTCTTAGTAATAATTAGTAAGTAATTGACTTTTACAGACTTACATAACTTATGTTTTGTCGATGATGGAAAATGCGCTTTCAATTTCTTCCTCCGGCGTTATTATTTCCGTGCTATTTCTATTTTGATTATTTTTCGATATCTTTGATTCAGTCTGTTTGGTCGCAACATTAGAATCATTGCTATTCCTTTTTTCATTCATTTCCATTTCCTATGAACAAAAAATGTATAATAATAACCATATATGTATATAGGTAAAGAGACCATATATGTATATAGGTAAAGAGAGAAGACTTTCGCGAGTATTCATTTCAAGGAAACTAATATTTTCGGATTGCTACGCGGTATTTTATTCTTTTTAAAAGTACTTTCCACAGACCTTTGATAATAAATAACAAGACTAACTGACAGACATTCACATCTCGTCTGCCCGTGATTAAGGTTGCAGCAAAGTAACCAAAACGTCGGGACTATGTAGTTTTACGAATAATTAAATACATGCAGTAATCCGAACATATTAGTTGTATTTCAATGCATTTAAACCTTAGTATATACTGCGTAACGGTGTCATTGTAAATATCCTTCTACGATCTACGTCTAGTACTTAATAGGTAATTTTCTTGTGTATTAAGAACAGTGAAGTTCTCATTATTATATATGATATAACGTAGACAGCACGGTCTTATAACGTGTGTGACACGCATATGTTTCTATCGAGAGAGATAAACCGATACTTGCTATATTACTACTTTTTCAAGTATTAACTTATGAGACTAAACCTCTCATAATTCATGTATTCACCGTGCGTGTGTCAGGTCCATCGTTGTAAAGAGAGGAGCTTCAACAGTAACTGGGACTTGCGACCCAGGTGTAAGTTTAAGGGGCCACTATCTAATGCGTTAAACGCTCACCTCCACTGTCCAAGCTTCTCTCTCTACCTAACCAAATTTCAATAGAGAATACTAGGGCTACCTTCGAAATACGTTCGAATTTTTCGTTGTACAAACCCAAGTCTTTTAGTAGAATAGAGAATTTTAGTATGTATTAATCTAAATAAAATCATCGAAATTCGTCTAATTATATACCTAGTTTAACTGTGAACTTATAACCACTTAACGTGCTTGCTAACATTTACCTGATTGTAAAGTTCCAAAGACAACGAATGTCTTTTCTTATTAGCTTGCTTCAAGCGCCCTGATCTTGAAATTGACAGTTTTCTCCTTCCATCAAGAGGCGGTGTGAAGTTATTTTTGTCTTCCTCAGCATCTTCATAACGAGATTTTCTTCTTTCCGTCGTATTAAATATCGACTTTATAAACTTTGCCATGTCAGCACTGATTTGAAATTCAATATCTAACACTATTTCGTCATGATTAATATTTATCTAAAAATACATATCTATATTATGTATTTTTATAATGTCCTTAAGAATACGGAAATTCTAATCACTTAAACAAATTAATTCCGAGTATCAGAAAATAAAGAAAAAATCAAATTACTTACTGTATCAATAAAATCCAATTTTCATTTGTTATGAACTCTTGCAGTTATTAAAATTGCAATCTATTAAGTATATATTTTCCGTAATTTTAACGTTAAAATTAGGTATGATTGTTTATTGAAACTAATTTATTTAAACCCCAAAGTACACAAGCACTGAAGCACTAATTAAATGGCATTATTACCAATTGCCTTCACCTGATAACATTTATTAATAGTGAAACGAGCGAGACTAAGTGCAGATTGTCAAACACTGCAGCAGTATTTACCATTACAACTGATAAGATATCATGATAAGTGTATTATGATAATGATTTAGATTAAAAATATTATTATGATAAAACAGATTAATAATATTGTGATAAGAAATGAGATTATTGTCATGCAATTGTTTGTTAGTGCAAATTAAATGTTGAATTTGCATCGAAGAAATATTTTAATTCAAAAAAACTTTAATAAAGAACAACAATTTAAATATTTTATTTCTAAAGTCCATAACGATAATAACACGTAAGTATATGGTAAAGAATTTTGTATTTAGTTTATTATACAAAATTAATTAAAGGCACAAAATAAGTTTCTAACTCTTTAATCATCTCAGCCTGTCATTATTTTTAATTTACTAGGTATTTACCTAAAAATATGTTTGTTTATTGGAACAACGAAAAGACCTTGACCGTCTAAAGTATATAAATTTACTATAGTAATAAGATTATTTACAAGTCCTTTAAAAATTCAGAAACAATTGTTTAAGTTCCGTAGTTATATTACAATTTTACAGAAAACACTTGTAAAATTTATTCAACTTTAAATATGATACTGTGACCCTGTTTCGATAGGTAAAAATATTAGTGCGTTTGATAAATTAAAGAGAGATAGTTAGACGCAGTAACATAATAAAATAATATAAGAAAATTTTCAGAAGTAAAAAAAGGATATGGTCATTGTTTTTTTTTAAATTATAAGTAATAACAAAAGGACGACGTCAAAAGTAATCTGCCGATTACCGGAAACCAAAGTAATCAAAATGGTCTGTAGACTATAAAGATTAGAATGCAGTTCTTCTCTTTCCCACAATATCTCCTTTTCACTTCTTTTCACCCTTATGACACCACGCTGTAATCCCAGTATGTACAAGTTCGGAATTTACATTTTCACACTACATACGGAGCTTTAGTAGTTTTTCATTCATAAATCTTTCCACATCAAGTATGATATGAAATTATAGTAATAATTGCAGTCTACTGAAAACACGTGACAATTAAAACTCGGACTAAGCTGTAAGATTTTCTTAATTGCAAGTATTTGTTAACTAGTTCGATCCTTTCAACTTCCTAGGTAAATGCATGCATTTTAAAATTTGTAAAGCTGTATTTATATTTCACGAATTGTGACATTATTCATGTAACTTATTGTCGTTAATTCCTTTTTTAGTAGTTTTACAATTAACACCTATAGAAATCTCTTAAAGTTTCAGTAACATTTACGTCAAATTATAGTATCCTCTTAGCTCAAATTGGCATTAAGTATGTATAATAAAAAAAATATTCTTTTATACATATGAATGAAATTGGAGTGTCTATCTATAATATTGAAATATCCGGTTTTTACTACGTGCATATGAACATAATATATATGTACGACATATAAACCAAAATAACATTTTTCACAATTTTTGTCGGTCTGTCTGTTTGGTCCGGCTATTCTCTGAAAGGGCTATACCGGTTTTGACGCGACTTTTACCGATAAAATGAGGAGTAGCTCGGCTACTTTTTATCCCGATCCCAATATTAGTCGTTTTTCCAGTTTTTAAACGGTTTTATTTAGCTCACCCTCTTTGTTTTATTAATTCTTGAGTCAAATTTATTAATTCGAATTTCACCCTTTTCCTGTCAACCAATCAATCTGAAATTTTGTATACACTTTGGATTTTGGTGACAATACAATTATGTTTATTAATATATAAAGGGCGGATAATTTATGTTTTATTAATCCCATCAATATGGGTATCAAATGAAAGAGCTCAACAAGCAGAATACAATATATATTCCTAATATAACCAAATTTTTTGTGAGTCAATGGACCACTAACTATAGGTTCGTCTGTATATTACAACGACTTTCCGAATAGAGATTTTCCAGTTTTTCATTTATATAAGTCTTTCTAGAATATAGAAAGAATGATAAAGTGAAAATGGCTATTTAATAGATGTGTCTATCTTCTAGAACCATTAAAAATGTTATTGAGAATATTTTCTCCAAGTTTTTATAGAAGGAGAAAGGTTTTAGGAGTGATAACAAAATGGATATTACATCTACTAGAAAATTATACGGACATTATACATAATGGTAATTAAAAATATGGAAATATTAAAAATATTTATATTCTTAATACTAAAAACTTTACAATATTAATAGGCAACTTTTTACACTAATTACTCTGTAACATTAAACATAGTAGCTATTTATTAAAACAATAAACATATATATATATATATATATAATTTTATATAATACAAATATTTTATGAATATATGAGGCAAGAAACGATGACATCTGTAAATATAATAAAATGCAGATCACATGAAGATTGTGAAATGAAAAAAATAAACTAATATAAAAACTATTTGAAACAGTCATCTGTCAAAGTACTGGCAATTAAAAAACTACAAGTGATATTAAAGTATGAAAAGAACCGTAATACACTGTAATAAGGTTCAGAATTAAATAGCATTTCTAGCACTTGTCTGAAGGCACTTTAATTACAAGAAATGAGTGAAGTTTTATATATGTATTTACTATTTATTTCCATAGCAAAAGGCAGTACTCTCTTGTCATGTTTTGTCACATAAGTAATAATGAACTAAATAAGTAGACTAAAAAGTTTTGACAATTCAAAGTAACCTAGAAAATAAAAAAAGTATCAACTTAAAATAGCGTTGTTTTAAAATGTTCTATATAAAATAGGTACCTTAATCTATAATTTACTATATAATGACTAAATATTACAATAATATATATATCTAACTACATAATATATTAAAACCCCAAGAAAAATAACGAATTTATTTCTAAACGTTGCCATGTGCCATACAAAATGTTGCCATAATCAATGTAAATCTTCACAAAATATAACTTAAAAAAAAGAAAAACAAATAAAAAATTATTATCACATTCAAATAACTTGCTCTGATTCATTGCTAGATACTGTTTCAGCGACATTGTTCCTGTATAGCTTTAAATTAGATTCTGTGTAATCTAGAATTTTCCGGCTTGAATGCCTTATGTATAGCATCTGTTTGTGGTATATTTTTAAAGCTCCCTTTATAGTTATATATGTTAGACCTCCTAGTATGGTCCTATGCAAGTTGTTTTGAACGGATCTGAAGAACATTTTTCCTATTATTGTTGATATCGTTGGCAGTAATAAAGCCGAGCAGAATATCCTTGTTGGTGACAAATGTGATGTATTATTTTGACTGTTCGTTGGTTGTCCAGATACTATTGCACCTCTGTCGCCTTCCACACTGAAAATAAAGCAATACATATATATTTTAAGATATAATATACATTTAGGATTATAACAAAATCATTAAAAAATATATGTAGTTTTCTTATAAAACCAGTGCTTTTAAATAACAAATAAAACCTTAACTAGAACAAACTAATTATCTTAACCCAATACAAGGAGTATATAAATAAGTTAAAGTCAATTTACAAAAATACAAGTCGTGTTCACAAAATACTTTCCCGCGTAAAAAATGAACAAACCAAGCGTCATCGCTTTAATATCACTTCGGATGCGTTCGGGAATTTAAAGGTTCGGTTCGAATAAAAAAAAATGTTCATTAAATATACTATATACGTGTATATAAGTATTATATACCTATCTAGACGTATGACATAAATTTAAACGATACAATTATTTAATGAAAACATAATTCAGTTCTTTCTTTTACTTTATAGAAACCATATTTGGTTAAAATTACGGTAATCTGAATATTTAACATATAGAACAAGATAGAGATAGCTATATATATGTACAAGAAAATATAGGCATTATGCCATAAATTACTTACTTGCCAAATGGTAGTATGTAAGCTAGGGCCGGTATTTTAGCGCAGTACTTTCTAAGGAATATGAGCACTGAATCTTCCCAGTTGTACATCTTGGCGCTGATCAAAGTCACTGGTATGGTTGGTAGTAAAACCAGCAGTACTAGAGGATCAGCTGATTCCATCATTTCTAAACCTTCCCTGTGACCCACGACCTTGAAAATTTTTGGACATGATTAAATACACTTAAATTAGAACTTTTTCTTTACTTTCATAAAATTACGTCGATAGTTTTCAAATGAATGCGGAAGGAGTTATACGTATTTACGTATGTCGTATGGAATCTTGTAAGCCAATTAGAATAAAAAATCATAAATTTATTTATGTATTTATACAACTTTAGTTAGGATAAAATTGTATAAAGTGGGTCTTATCTTAAATGCCTTTGGCAAACCTCAAAATTGTATTAAAATGTAATAATATGATATGTCATAACTTCTTCTTGATTTCCAAATAATTAAAATTTAACTGAACTTAATAAAACAACAGCAAGATCATTTATTTCCTTTCTAATGTAATTATTCCATTACTAATTATATTAAACCTGAAACTTATTCGTTTGACTGTATGTGAATTTTTAGATCAATTAACAAATTTTACAAAAATCTAGTTACGAAATATAATATATACGGCCTCGGCCTCGAATTTTGCGGGCAGCGGAGCGGCAGCGGGAGCGGCAGGATCTTACGCGTATAATCAAATGGACCGACCCTCGAATACAGCGGTGCCCGCTGCCCGCTAGTTTGGAGAACAGTATGCTTTTCCGTGCCGCCGCCGCTGCCGCTCCGCTGCCCGCAAAATTCGAGGTCGAGGCCTACTAGTTAATGCACATGACATTGCCCACTGGGAATTTTGGATTTAATGTAAACAAAAGACGCTAAGCAACAGTCAGCGCCATCTATCGTCTAAGTCACGTGACTTAATAAACATTACACAAGTGACACGATCCCGTGGGAACGGCTTAAGTCGGGAACGGGAATTGTTTGATATTGTAAAGTTTAATCAAAATCTGTTATATAGTTTTTGCGTAAAATAGCAATAAACATCGTTACACCCACACATACTCAGAAACTTACAATATTTGTATTAGTATTATATATAAAGTATATGTACCTACCTATATATAATTTTTATCAAAAAATTCCCGGGAGAACAGTTGTAAAACCCAGGGTAAATATTAATATTCTTTGCAAATTTCTAAAAAATATTAATAGAAAAACACCTCAATATTTATTGCGAATCTCTGCTACACAATTAACACCATAACCAATATTTATTCAATACATTATATTACGGATTTTTTAAAAAATGTAGGTCTTTTTTATGAGTCAGTGTGTCTATAACTGTACTCTTTGATGAGTGTAGATTCAAATATTTACTTTTCAAAATATTCTATTGACATGCTAATTGTCATGTTTTTAATGGGACATCCTTTCATAACAGTATAGATAGATTTAACTGTAATACTTTGTTTTATTTTTCATTGAAATATTTCTCGTGGCATACATACTTTTTTGTATTCGAATAACGTATATCCCTACTTATATTATAAATGCGAAAGTAAATCTGTCTGTCTGTCTGTTACGCTTTCACGCCTAAACCACGGAAATGATTTTAATGAAATTTGGTACAGAGATTGAGTTGACCTTGAGAAAGAACATAGGATAGTTTTTATACCAGATTTTTGAAATGTTCCCTTGGAAACCGAATACGACGCGGGCAAAGCTGCGGGCGGAAAGCTAGTTGAGTATATTTCAGACTTGATTTGAACAGAAATTTAATAAAATATCGTGTTAATTGATAAAAAATATTAATAATGTGTTGTTTCAATAATATTTTAACAGGGAACGTAAATAACAAATTCATTTTACATTTAAATTTGCGACTTCATATTAATTGCTGTCATTGGCATGACAAGCGTCATATTTGTAACGGTTGTCAAATAAGTGTTTGTACAAATTGAGTGGTGCGGGCAAAAAAAACAAAGCTCTGAGTCGACTTTTTTTAAAGAGAATTAGTTTAAAAATGACGCGATGTTTTTTTAACACAAGCTCATTTTGAACTGTCATTTTGTTTGATATATGACTTTATACAGCCTAAACTAAATAAAACCTGTATGCCTACACCTTCTTTGTTTAAAAGTTGATCATACCTATACGGAAGTGGTTTAAGGAAATATTTTTAATTTTTATATACAGGAAATATACTAACAATTTCACAGTATTTATTTTTACTTATTTAGAATTTTAATAATTCATTTATTTAATTACATATTATTGACATCATTAATATCATATAGTGGAAGATTATATTTAATCAGTTTTGTAAATCAATACCTCATGATATATTCGCTTTCACCTATCAAGTTAGTTAAGAGAATTATAAAAAGAATAAACCAATCACATAACAAAGCGTTGTATGAAAAATCTCACGTTATTGTTCCCATAGAAGTATGTTCTCTGTATATAAATGCTCTATTATGTTTTTAAATATTTTTACAGCTATGGAAATCTATCGATTGATTTGGCTTAGCTGTTTTAAAATTTTGATGGACGTCATAACATAAAACTATCAAATCTGTATGTCATAAGTCATAACTAAAGCCGAAGCCATAAAAGATGGAATCATTCAGATTTTTACGAATTTACAACTTTGTTCGTTATATAAATAATTTGTATAGTGGCAACACATCACAATCTAAGACCTGAAAACTCAAAAGGACTCGTATCCAGAGCAGTAAAAACATTTACAAAAAAAAAAACTAAAACCTGAATTTGACCATTTTAATTTTTAAAAAAGAATAAAATAACATACCTGCATAACCGTAACAGCTCCATACGTAATCGCTATCCAATATATAGATCCAAGGAGCACACCGCCAGCTATGAACGGACTTATTTTGTGTGTAATCTCTTCAAGAGCGTCCAATAATGCCACGAACGCACCCATTGATGGGAACACCACTATGTACTCAGCCTTACACTGGGGGCAAAGCACCTTCCTCGTAATATTACCTTTCTGTTTTTCGTCAACCCACCGCTGTAGACAACTTTGGTGAACCTGGAATTGTTATTATTAAGATAATCATTATTAAAAACATTAAAGACTTATTATTATAAATGTAACAATAAAGACAGGAACATTCTTATTAAAAAGTAAATCATTTCCTCAAATATTAAATTATTTTTTTAAACATCTAGGAAGTGACATTTTACCAAATATATCATTAACGATGAAGAATGATTTTTCTTTTATTCATTCTCACCACATCCGGAATGTCGCCATAAAGGTATAAATCATTAAAATAATGCAAATAATTAAAAAAATCTATAGAGCAATGTTCCGAGACTTTTATTTTTTATATAAAATATTTGCATATTTACACATTGAAATAAGATTTTCGAACGTAATTGCTGTCATAAAAAATTAATTATTCTTTTATCTCACACTTATATCATAATCGTACAAAAATATACCTATTTAATCTTATAAAAACACAGGTGAAACCATATAACATGAATTGTATTAATAAAATTATGTGTGTTTGAAACCACCGGTTAACCTTTAACAGCTTTTGAAGGTTAGTTTATATTACTTTTTAAAAAAAGGAAGCACAGTATTTTAAAACTCATAAATAAACGCGGAACAACATTTAAACTGTCACAAAATGCATTTCAATATCAAATAATAAAACTTTATGTTCAAATAATAACATATTCCGTGATTAAATTTTATCAAAACAAATGCTAAGTCGATAATTACCTACGTGACGACATGTAATAACATAATCAAAATGTAAATTACATTATAATAATATACGCTTTTGGTAAATAATTTGCATCAAACATAATTTTTATTGCGTAATTATTAGGAAATAGATGCGTAGGCGAGATAGCATGAAAAACAAAAAGCCTAAAGCACTATTGACTATGATTATAATTCGTTTACCGATACGAACATTTAAATTTCTTGCCTAAGCGACTAATGAGGGATATTTCTAGTGGGAACACAACTTAAGAACTGTATAAGGTAAATTTAATACGACCTTAGAATGCTGGCAAAATTCAAGTGACTAGAATAACTAAACAGGCTTGCACTAACACCAAATAAAACGTTTATTCTTCATAATAACTATTGTATATATTATAGCTATTAATAGTACATTAAAACTATGAGACACTGTTATTAATAAGAGAATTATATTACGAATGCATATTAATATTTCATTTATGGATAAAAATCTTCATAACTACCACAGTGATATTTTGAATTGAAATAAAAACAACATACTTTTATATAAAAATCTAAACAAGTATATAAATAACAATATGTATCTCTCCCTGTATTTAGTAATAATATGACAATAAATATGTGACATCTATCGACATTGATGATGGACAAATGTCATTAACTTTACAGATATGCCTCATGTATGCTGTCCCTTTTGTTAAGATCTTTGTTAAAACAATAGATAAGATTCAAGATAAAGAATTCTCTACAAACCTTATTATGCTAAATATATTTTTTAATATAAAAACAAAACACAATCAAATCTATTGCTCTTATAATGCTATTAAATGCTTTACACCAACCAAACTGATAACAGTTTCACCTAATTATTGTTTATATCGTCAAATCAATATCAATTTATCTGATAATTATAATTTATTGAAAATAAAATTTCATTCGAGAACGTTTTTAATATTTATTTTGCAAATTACTTTCAATGATCATATAGAGAAAACATTTTCTTTACTTGTTTCATTGAAGAATTAAAAGCAATAGTTCTGAAAAGAATGCAAAGAAGTGCCTATCGAAATTCCTTAATTATTGAAATTGCATATATTACTGAAATAAAATTTCCTATAAAGAAACCTATCTTTCACCTTCATAATATATCATATAATATCAGAAATAATATATATTAAACAATGAAATTGTTTAAAAACTTAAAGTACAATTATTATGACGCATAGTTTAAAATAAAACATAGATTGTTCTAAAGATCAAATGTTTGTGTAATGTACAAGTAAATGAACTTTCGATCGATGATTGAATGTTTACAAAATTCTTCCGACATACTTTTGTATTGTACAAGTGATAAAGAATTAGCATATAAAGAAAGAGAATATAAATATTTTAAAACTATGTTTACAGTAAAATATTAACTTAAATTGAGTCTTTAACTCTTGTAAAGGAAATAGATGTATGTTCTTTATCAAACAACTACTTAACAAAAACACTCCATTTCTTTTTAATTAGCTATAAATTAAGTTCTTCAATGTCATTGCATTCTTTGTTACTATAAATATGTTAAATATTGTATGAATACACAAAAAACCTGTTTAAAATACAAGGAAGTCATAATTTTAATATATTTAAAAAAGCAACTAAACAAGAAGTATAATGATGAATTGTATAATTTTTCAATAATTCATATTAAAAAATTTCATTGTTCTTCATTCATGAAATTTTTAACTGTACAAGTAGACTGAAATAATATATTTTTCATATACATTTTCCATCAATTGCCATTAAGATGTATTATAATGGTTTTCATGAAATGAAAGTAATGTTAAAAGGTTTCTCAAGTCATAATGTCCGACAACGAAGTGTATTTACATATTCAACATAATATTATTAATAATACAGTTCATTAATATTGAATAACAGATTTAATTACTTTATTTACGGCTTACTTTTGGTGAAATAATATTACATACCCATTTGGTGGTGCCAATACATTTGCATGGCTGCACCCAAGCAGCCAATCTATCATCAGCTTCAGTGGCGAAGCAAACCCAACAGGATTTTACATTTTCATCCTCTGAAACTTGCAAAGCTTGAGAACTAGCGCTGGAGCCTAAACCAGATACCTTTTTATCACTGGGCATCGTGAAATTTGTTCCAAAACCAAAATAGCACTGTTACTAAACTGAGCGATCAGTCTCATATGTCGTTACGAAATAATTTAATGAAGATCAAAAATTATCGAAGCAAAATATTTTAAAGTGCGTATTTTTTTTTGTTGTTGAATGTTATTCGTTTCACAAATCGCTTCCGTCACTGACACGACTATCCTTTCGTTTTCTCACTTTGACATTGTCTTTTGCTATGACAGTTGACAATTTCTTTGAAAACCATGACATTTAATAACAGATAATCAAAATCCTACACAAACATTTGGCTTAATGATTTTAAGCTTATATATCACAAAGAGAAATTATTAGAGCGTAAGGTCATATTTAAAACAACTAACCAACCATAATTATCGCATAGAATGTGCCAATTTAATGATTATGAAGTGATAACTTTTTATGGGAGAGTAAACACAACGTAACGTAACGCGTGACGGCACTCCTCAACCTGGTGTCACTTTCACTCACGATACGATATCAGTACTACAAGCGGCAGAAGTGTTTATAGAAATATTAAATATGTGCAAAAACGGATTATCAAGTTAATGTATACATAATTTCAGTAATAACTTAAACTTATAAAAGTTAAACAATTTCTATCTTAAAAAGTTTAAGGAATCACTTATATCAAATTTATTATATATGATTTCCTTAATAAAGACATACACAACACCATGATTTTTTATGCATTTAAAGTCTCATAGAAAAGAATTTTACATTGTTTAATCTGAAGTCTTTCAATGACTTAGACAGTAGACACTACTATAGGCAACAATTAAAAATAAGTCTTATTTGTAAGTTTAATATAGTTTTAATGAATTAAATGATTTTTCTAGCATACTAAGCTGACACCATACGCGAGACATTAAAAATTACAATCAGTGGCGGCGTAAGGCGTGGGCGACGTGGGCCACCGCCTACGGCCTCGCGGTACAAGGGGCCTCGCGCCTCAAAAATTTTAGAGAATTAAAAAAAAAAATCTTCTTGTTCCATAGGAATTTCCCAGCTATAGCCAGGGTCTGCCTTACATGTTGTGATTAGTTTTGGCTATTTGCTTTTACGACCGGTCGTCTGCTTGACATCAACCCTCTTTCTGAATCAGAATTAATTAAACCTATTTTGATAAGAATAGTGTGTTCAATGTTTTAATAATATTTAGCGAATAAATAGATAGTGTTTAAGTATATTGATTGCCCCCGAACAGTGACGTTTTTTAATTGTTTTTGTTTTCTTTGTGATTTGTAATACACCAGTACCTGTACTCGGCTATTTTACATAACAAGTAACAAATATTTAATTGGTGATAAGTACGTAACGCAGTAATTACTTGTCTATATAATAGGTTTTATAAAATCTTTTGAAGGAAACCCAAGCTTTAAGTGTAAAGAAAAACATCGACGTTTAAGTTTTTAAAACTAGCTGGTAGTAAGAGCTTCAGGTTTCCATAGAATAGGGCCTCGCGAAATCTGTCTTGCCCACATCAAATTTAGGTCTTGCCCCGCCATTGATTACAATAGAAATAAGATTTTAAAATAGTAACATATTTTATACTTGTAATTATATATCTTAATAATTTCAAATCAAATAGTTTATTGTAAAGACCACTTACGTTAGTTTAATAGTTGTTATAAAAAAAAAAAACAAATTGTTATTTAAAATCATTTATTTATGATGTGTATATATAAATACTTAAATGAATTAAAATCATTTTACGAGACCTGTCAATATTATACTACTGCTAAGTATTTAAAACAAACGTCTGATTATTTAAACTGTTACTACGTAGTAATGTTATTCAAGACAACTATTTATTCAACATGAAGTAATTGCTGTATCATATCTTACATGATAAGTTTCTGAACGTCAGTGTAATATATAGAAATTTGACAACACCAAGGAAACATCTTTCAGTTCTACACATATATAAAGTACTGCGAAATTATTATATACGCTCTTAAGCTTGTTACTTATATAGTATATACATCGTGGATATTGCGACAAAATTGACCCCGCCCATTTTTGTTATTTCTTAAACCACAATATGGACCTATTCCCTTGTAGAAATATTGTAAAGCATTCAACTACTTCCTAAGCATAAAAGTAATTTAATCGGCCATATTGTTAAAATTTTGTAATATACTAAAAAAATTCTTAATAGCTACGTCTTTCAAGAATATTGCACACCGAATTGTTTCAATTTTAACAGTGAACGTTCATTGATAATCTGTTATACATTTGACGTTTTTAAAAATGACTCGATGTCAAAAAAATCGACCTAAACCTAATTGTTCCGAACATTAAATGTTACTAACGTTTAATATAAAGATGAAACCGTATAAGTTAATAATAAATAGCGTCCTTAATTTTACTTTATATATACATGTATGTACTTTTTTACGGCATACAAATATCTATCCGTAAGCATCGCCAACATTGGCTTTAACAAGAATCCCTTTGTATGATTCGACCACTTTTTCTTCATCAGGATATTCAATTTTCTTCATTTCGTTAAGCACGTAAGTATAACCGTCGAAGTGTGTGAAATCAGTGGATATATCTTCCTCTAGACTTGGGATCCTGAATGGCGTGGTCACTGGCTTTAAATGTGCTGAAAAAAAAAATGAAATCTAAATTCAAATATTTGTATTCTAATAAATGAATTTCGTTAGTTATGTTTGAATATTTATTCCTCATAGCCATCTACCATACTTTACTTGATAGACAACATTATTACATTTTTTTTGTAATCTATACTAATATTATAAAGCTGAAGAGTTTGTTTGTTTGTTTGTTTGTTTGTTTGTTTGTTTGTTTGTTTGTTTGTTTGTTTGTTTGAAAGCGCTAATCTCCAAAACTACTGGTTCGAATTGAATAATTCTTTTTGTGTTGGATAGTCCAGTTATCGAGGAAGGCTGTGGGCTATAAAACATCACGCTACGACCAATAGGAGCAAAGATATAGTGATAAATGTGTAAAAAACGGGAGCAATTATTTCATCTTTGAAGCCTTCCGTTGCGTGCGCCGTGAAAACGGTTCAAGACACAGAAAAAATATGTATTAAAGAATAATAGCTCTTTTAATGATCTAAAAAACAGTCCGCAACAGTATATGTATATCTTTTAAGATTAACTCACAAAAACCGTTTTTATGGTACCTAATTTGGTCGAAATTATTTGTTTAAGTTGTATCAACATAATAATATTAATCTTTATTCAAATAAACAAATAAATATGTTGTTGGTTAAGAGTATTTCATTATGAATAAAAAAAACATCGGTTTTATCCTGAAAATTCTACGGGAACTCGACCATTTTGAAAACACCGCAAGAACGGAAACTATGTGGGAAGAACCAAAAATCTGCCGGAAGTCACTATTCCACGCGGACGCAGTCGCGGCAAAAGCTAGTAAATAAATATTCTAGGGACTTTTTGGATATTAGTTACAAGTAACAACTCCAAGATATGAAATTAATGTACAATAGCAATGATAGCTAAAAAAAATATATAAATATAAAACAACTAGTAAACCTGGCGAACTCCGTTTCGCCACCAGAAGGCTTTTATATAACATTTCGTTTGTTGATTAAAAGATGAAGAATATTTTGTTTTATACTTGAAAAGGAAAATTTTTATTTCATTTCACAACTGTAATGAATTCATTTCGATTACAAAAATGAAGTGTTATTTAGTTGAACTTCTCTAAGTAAATGAAAGTGAATCCAAAGTAGATACCGAATCGAAGCGTTATACGTGTCCGCAAATTATCCGTTTCATTGAAGTGCTCCTTTGTAAAATACATTTTTTGTTTTTTGGTCTAACTTTAACACAAATAAAGCGTATGGTTTCCAAACTCGTGAACATACAAAATATAACTGCCCATGTGAAAAACAATGATTTTCTAAATTTATCCCGCAAATACTTATTATAATTTATTTACTTGAAAGGTTTTAAGAGTTCAAACTACAAACACATTACCTAAATATTTTTATTTTTATATAGTAGATTTCTTACAAATATCTAATTGTCATCCATTTGTCATTACATATCTGTCATTATACGTCAATTGCATAGCTGTTAATTGTGTTATTCCATGTTTTATAGTGACTGACGTTTCATGTCAAGTCCCACGGGAATGCTGTCGAACGGGATAAAAAGTATCCTATTGCAATTTCCTGGTTCTAAACTACCTCCCTGCCAATTTTCAGCTGAATCGGTTCAGCCGTTCTTGGGTTATAAGTGAAGTCACTAACACGACTTTCTTTTATATATATAGATAAGATGGGATCTCATTAAAACTGTCTCCAGAAGAAAATTGTATAATATTGAAATGATTCTGAAATATACCTACATATACTAGTATAAAAAAAATAAGGATTAATATATTTAAAAAAAATGATTATCTTTCACAAAATTTGATATTTTCTAACAAAGCATTTGGAAGCTTGAGCATTATAATTTCCAAAATTTGTTAAAAAATTATGTTAATTCAAAAAAGACCACAAAAATCCATTACAAGAGACATAGACATAGATTACATAATTACGAAGACTTCCTGAAATAAGAAGGTGAAAGAATTTATTTTACGACTTTTAATAGCAAAAACATGAAATTGTAACTTATATTGAAAATAAAACATTGTGTGAAACAAAAGGCTTCGTAAAATGAATTAATGGCAGCTTAAGGCATAAAATGATTTATAAAATGGACATTTATCGCTATCATTATATTCAGTGGCACGTTTTCCTAATAAATCTGTAAATGTCTTTTTTTTAATTTCCTAAGACATGTTTAGAATTTAAAAAAATTATATGTATGCCAGGACTTATTAAAAGTTAAAGAGCCAGATAAAAAAAAAAGACAAAACATATAATCACTCTAACCTATATTTGATAAAATAGAAATTTTGTCAAGTATCTACCTATACCAAAAACAAGATTAGAATTAAATCTATATATTTTATTAATTGCACTATAGGGAGCGTTTAAGTAACGCAATTTTGGGGGGGGGGGGGTCTCGTAAAACGTTACGATGCCTTACAGGGCGGGAGGGGGTGTCTCTTACAAAACGTTACGTAGCATTGTTTCTAAAAAAAATATTAATAAAACCCCCAAACTCTCAACTCTTTTCATATACGTTACATTATGTTGACCAGATTGTATTAGTCTGTTCGATATTTTTATTTGTTATTCCAAGTTTGCAAATTTCCTCTTAATTAATATTTTACGGGGAATACCAAGATTGCATTGTAAGTCTGTTAATGTTGCTTCCGTGATCAGTATTCGTTAGTGCATACTGTATACTGTATGTGTATACTGTAATTTCTTCAGAAGAGGGAGATTTGTGTCAATTATCTTTTTTCATTTATTATAGATTATAACAATACCAAACTATTACATTGTTTTACGACTTTGGATGAAATTGATCACTTGAGTGTTACGTAACGTTTTGAGAAGGGGGGGGGGGCTACAGAAAAACGTTACTGTGCGTTACGAGGGGGGAAGGGGGGGGGGGTCAAAAATCTTAAAAAATTGCGTTACGTAATACTAGAACGCTCCCATAGATGTTAAATATTTGCAAAATCCAAACAAATTTACTTCAGGCTTCAAATCCTTTTTGATTTCCCTCTATCACCACTATGATGAAATAAACAGTAATTTAAATAATCTGATATTTTTTATTATTATTATATAACTTTATTTATAATATAATCTAAACATACCTTGAGCAACATATCTTATGGATTGATCGCCAGCTATGACTCTATAACAAGGTTGCACTCCCTCTATAGGAGGTACTGCTTTAGAACAATCTTCTTCCCATCCAACAATTATACACATATAGTTATATAACTCGTGATAACACAACATACCAACAGCATATATAACTGTTGATGGATGTTTCTTTGGAACAATCTGGAAAAAAACATTGACAAATAAATGTTCAAGTTTCATATATACACAATTATATCTGTATAGTTAATTACCACAACTTGGCACTGACTAATTACTAAGATTTCTTTTTTCTCTTCTTAACTATGTTTACACTATAATTTGCAAAAGATTTATGAATGAAATACGAATCTGTATGTAGTTTGCACGTCAAACTTGTGGTAAGTATGCTAATGGATGCATTTTAAGTAATACAAGCCATAGGAAACATTTGTATGATGTTAAGTTCTTTTAAATATGTTGAATACAAAAATAATAGATTCTTTAATCAGGAATGAATATGAAATATGTAAAATATACTTACATTTCTTATAACATTTTCTGTGGCGGGGTTTAAATTCCCTAAAGTACGAATCATATTTAATTGGGAGTCGCTTAGCTGAAAAAAAAAACAAAGAATTTGTGAAGTGACATGACTTTTTTGTTTCGAATTGACTGTTGCTGTTAACCCTAATGGCTTTGACAGCGTCACCGAGAGTGATGGGTGGCCCAAATGGGACCGACCCGATTTAATTCGACCCGACCCGTTTAATTCGGGCCCGAAGAGGGATACGTCCGTCCCAAGGATGCCTCTAAGAGGCTAGACCTCGTCTAAGGACGTCGTTGGAGTGGTGGAAACAATCGGATTATGAACTGCATGACGTCCTCTACGGTAGAATTACTGAGTAACGTATAGGACACGGGACCTCGCCTTTGCCGGCGAAGGCGGTGTGTGATGGGGTTCTTGTCTGTATGCCTATCAGCCTATCAGAAGCCCACTGCTGAGCAAGGCCTCTTTCTTACATGGAGAAGGTTAGAGCATTAATCACCAAGCTTGCTCAAGACGGGTTGGTGATTTCAAACTTATAATTGTGAAACTATAAGTCCAGGTTTTCTCACGATGTTTTCCTTCACCGTATGTCAGTGATGTCTAAATAATCTCAGAAAGTACACATGACTCCGAAAAATTACATTGGGACTTGCCAAGGCTTGAACCCGCGCCGTCGGCAACGAAGGCGGGTCCTTTAACCACTAGGCCACCA